TATTTGTTTCATATTCAGGAATTGTCTAACAAGGAAGATCAGGTGAACCGATGCGAGTCTTCCCTGGTTGTCTACCGACGCAGGTTTGCCGTGCTGCGACATCAGCAAGGTCTGCTGTACCAAGACTACAAAGAGAAGCAGGAGGAATGGGAAAGTCAGTCGGAGGGATGGGATAAGGCCAAGCAGAAGCTGCTAGACCAGATGGAGCAACAGGAGGCCAAGGTTCAGGAATTCAATGTAAGATGTGGGCAAGACGAGTGGAAGGTGATAGATTTATGATGGTGAAGGTGTGGATAAAGTTAGGTAGAAGCTACTAGACTGGATGGAGAAGCAGGAGGTCATAGTTTAGGAATTCAGTGTAGGATTTTGCAAGATGAGTGATTTAATACGATGGTGTTATTGTAAAGGATGGGATATAGCTTGGAGGAAGCTACTAGACCAGACAGAGAAGTGACAGGCCAGAATTTAGGAATGTAGTGTAAGATAAAGGCAAGATGAATAAATATGATGGCGTTATGTTCAACGATTGGATAAAGACAAGCAACGACATCCTGGTAGACTACATAGAACAGCTGGAGGAAAAGGTTAAGGAATTCGGTGCAAGATGTTGATAATATGGCACAGAAGTGTAAAGTTGATACTCTAGGCAATGGGATGACAATTTAAAGCACCCTTTGTGGTTCATGCTCAGAGCTCAAATGAGAGCTGTGTATTGACTGCTCCTTTCAGAGACTCCTAGACACTCTTCAGCAGAGCGGGGACGAACAGCAACGTCGGATCGCCGAGGGGACCCGGAAGATCACTGTTCTGCGAGTCAATGAGAGAGCCCTCACTAGACGGTTCACAGTCAGTCAGGAGGTGGAGGGAACCCTGAGGAAGGTAGGCAAGGGGAGGAGCTAGTGTGGGAGGGAGGGGAATGTTTTGTCTATTATAATATGTTTAACCCACATTGATATAATTAGTATCGAGGACTGGAGAACATTTATTTTTGCTTCCCAAGTTGTTAACTCTGTTTTCTTTTGGATGCCAGGAAGTCAACAAGCTCCGCAATGAGATGGTTCAGATGGAAACGGCCATCACGGAGAGACTAGGATATCTTCAAAGACATAAGGTGTGTGTCGTTGGAACAGGATTCATGGAAGGACACCTCAAGTTGAAAATTGTATTGAATTTGGTCCAAGATTAAGTCCTGTGCAGCTAGAACATTGAACTTAAGATCCTGGCTCAAAAGGTGATGACCCAATTTATCCACAGACTATTCCCTCTTAAACAAAGCTGGGCCCAAGTGTGCCTCTGGCTGATTTAAAACATAAATTTCATTCAAAGCACAGGGTGGGAAAGAAGCAGAGAGCGTATTTATCAGGGCGTAAATGGTTGAGACATCAACTCGTGTGCTGCTGAATAAGCGGAAGGAAATCTATCCACACCGTGGTATCAACAATTTCTAATAATAAATGGATACTAGTATAAATATTAGCTGAGGGAGTCCTTGTTTTTACCAGATTTGTATTAAGGTGACGTGTGAAAACTCAGGTGGTGAAATTTGCAGTATGTTTCATTAGCATGAAAGCTTGTCCAAAGCTTGTCCAAAGCTTGTCCAAAGCTTGCCCGTACTCCTTCCAGAATTGGATAGACTTCCATACTCATTGTGTTTGAAGTTACCAGACACTTTGGATGAGATTGACCTTTATTTTATCCGAATACTCCACATATTAAAATGTCATTTTCTCCATGTGACGGGTTGTTACAGTTGCATCACACTTGAGCAATTGTAGTCAGCCCTCCACATTTATCATTCGTGGAAGTACATCTTCCTATCCAGCTAAAACTTTCATTGTTGCATTCATTTCACCTTCTCTGCCTTATCCAGGAAGCATCACAATTCAAGATAGCCGCCCTCCAGCGAGCCTTGGACGAGAGTGTCCCAGCCTCAGAACTGGAGTCTTCAAATCGACAGTACAACGAGTTGGCCGCCAAGTACAGAGACCTGTTACAGACGGACAACCAGTTAGTTGCCAGAAACACGCACATCGACCAACTGGAGGTATGTGCCATGTTCTATTGCCGTCATTTTGAAGTTGCTTGTCATTCGCTTTAGTTAGATTTTCAAATCATGTATATGATGGGTGTAAGTCCTTATTTGCTTGATCAAATTCATTTTCTTTTCATTGTTTATAATTTTGTTTTTAACCCCTTCGCTACGGAGGACTGCTACTACCACACGGTTGGTGAGGATTAGTGCATACCACGCATACAGTCTATTCACCATGCAGCTGCTGGTTCACTGGGGCCTGCTGCTGGACAAAGCCCTCCATTCAGGGCATACCGCAGCCCAGCAGTCGCTGGGGCAAAATAATCCTGCTGTGAAGGGGTTAATTGTCAGTTGTATTGAAACTCTGAACAGTTATAAAGATGTTGTTCAACAATGGAGGATACTTGTGTCAAATTTGGCTTGTGTGGAAACTGCAAACACACCAAACCAAAAGAAACATGCTTTTTGCCATCCGACCAATTTCAAAAAAGACTTTTAGAACTTTATTTCCCAGGCTGGATTATTAAAACAAATCATCATCTGTCTAAAAGTTGTCGTTGAGGGCAGCATGTGAGTTGGCCAAAATTACGGCATGATACGTTATTGTGTACATGCTACACAGCAGCAAACAGTCGTAGGTATTCGGACTCCCACGTACTGCGTCACACTTTTATGGAATGGCAAAATGAAATTGACGACTGTTGTTTTTTTCTTCACCAGACCCAAAAACTGTAAACTTACTTCTCACATTGAGTTTTAAATACACAGTTTGAAAAAATGCGACCTCGTGTCTGTGATGTATATGGGTGTACTCTACATTCGAAGACATACTGCAGAAAAATGTCCTCCGTCGTTGAAGTACATCTTTAACCCTAACACTCCTCAGTCCTCCAACAGGTGAAGGATTGAGTAGGGTTAGGGTTAAACTTGAATCTGGCTTGTCATCCGGGTTCAAATCTTGTGGCTGTTCGGTTGAGAAATACTTTCTTTCTTGTCATATCAGTCTGAAAATAAGCGGCTTGAGTCAGATGTGGACATTTTGAAGAGAGAATTAGCCACTGAGAAGGAGAAACTCCACACCCTAGAGCAGGCTGTGGAGGAACTAGGAAGGATAGGAGGTAAGAAGACGTTTGTATGGTGTTGGTGATGTTGTGACCGCTGCGTTGTTTTCTTACTACTGCATTTGTTGTTGCTCTTGATACAAGACTTACTTCTGTCACTTCTGTTCCTCACACTATTGCTACCAACCTCTGTTGTTGCTACTGTTGGAGTTGTTGTTTTTGTCACTGTGAATGCTACAACTTTTACTGCTTGCACTGGGCAAGTTTGGGTGCGAAGTGTAGTTCAACCAGTTGTCAATTGCTTTTTAACAATATGCATGCTCAATTCAGTTGCACTCGAACGACCCTGGTCAGTCAATTTTTCAAAATGTCATCGTTGCTCACATTTCACAGTGCACTGCTGTTCTCGTAGCATACATGGTTAATAAGATCAATAATTTTCATGTGAATGGTTCCCTCCGTAATGATAAATGAAATCAGTTATTGATAACCAGCGGTGCGACCATGCCCTGGAGCCTGGTACCAAATGATCGACTAGATAGTTCAAATCATCCATTGTTTGGGTGGTATTAGTTGCACTATAGTTATCCATGGTCATCGCTCGAACTTGCCTGCTGTTGCCAAAACCACTTTTTGTTGTTGCTGTTGTAGCTTTTGCTGCTGCTGTTGGTGCTGTGTCAAATGCTGCTGTT